TTGCAAAGTGACACTCTTGAAGTTGCATAAGCAGAGAAACTTGAAAATATTGACTAACTTCCCAGCTGTCACTTATGGATTGATCAGTATACTGGTGTCGAGCTAAGATACATGCCTCAGACAACGTTTCCTCATTTTCATACTGTTTGAAACCATCCATTGTTCATGGCAGAGATAATGTGAATGAACGCGGGATAATATTACTACACACAGCATGTTCTTGAGAAGCAATGAAACTTATTGAAGTGCACTTTTGTAGGTAACAGTCTCAAATTGACTCATGTATTTATCTGTCGCCTGTTTGTCTCATGCGTTTGCATGAATTTCATGTAGAATTCTTCAAACCTAAATCTGTTTGTTTTCAGCTGACATCTGAATATCTGTTCGCAAACCACGCAGACAAACTAGACTTTTTTCTTAGTGAAGCTACTTAATCAGGAAGAACCTTTTGTGTCATATTGGAAGTGGATACTGAAATACTATTTAATTTGAAGTTCTCGTTTATTCATATTTTTGTGTAAGCGAAGCTTTACCTCATTTGCTGCCTGACTGCTGAAAGCTTATCCATCAAATTATCGTCTACGTCTTAAGCTAGTGAATTCAGACGTCATTTAACTCGTGTAAAACTTACTAACAAGGGTTGGTAGGATAAGCTGATGCTACATCATAGACAAAAATCTTTTCAGGCCTAATAATAAGCATACAAGACGAAGTAATCTCTATCCGGATAATTTTAGTATCAGTATACAGTTACATGCCCGCGAACCTGAATGAGTTTCTACATGCATTCTGCCAAGTATTTTTAGCCATTTAAAATTTCATATCAGCACACGATAAACATATAGTGCAGAAGATTTGTAGCTCAGGTGGATGATTTGACCTCTCTTTAACTTTAGACAGAAGTATGAATTGAATTTGTTCTCTCTCTACACAAATAATTGGAAAGTTCACGTTTCGTCTAGACAGGCCATTCACACACATTTACAAAACTACGTGTTAAAATTCTATTTTCTTTAGGCTTTTCATCAAACTAATAGAATTGAATACGATGAAGTTAGTATTTAGATATGTCTCTATGTTTGTGGAGCGGATTTATTCCTGGTTGAATTTCAAGGTTCTGTGAAATTCACAGGGAAAACTGCAGCTATTCTTCAGTAATTTGGTCCAAATTTTACAGCATTTTTAAATGTAGTTTGGCATTAATTAAAATAGCGTTACCCCATTTGTAATCAGCTGCTACTTTTAATAATTTACTAATTCCGATTATTTGTAACTCAGAATAAAGGTAAATTTGACATAACTACTTTCACTTCCAATGAATAACGATTATGTCACATTTGTTCAACGTTTCAATGAATTATGTCAGGCTGATGGACGTCATACCCCGTATCACTCTATAGAATAATCATGCATCTCTCAGTAAATAGTAGGTTAAGTGAAAGAATAGCGATTCAAAGGAACGAACGCATCACCGAGCTTCAAATGCGGAATCAGATCAAGGTAGTGAAACCAGGTGAAAAACACCATATTCGCGAAGAAATACATTAATACTTAACAGGATACTTCCTGTATAATTTCCTCTCGTTATTATGAATGCCAAACTCTGTTTCTCTTCTTTCTCCTAAACTCGCCGAATTAATGCAAATGACAGTTTAGACGCGTACGTTGCCATTTGGTAGCTAGTCTTTATGTTTGTCAAATATTATTACGTGCACAAAATCCGTTCAAAGTATAGATATTGAATAAAAAGTTGTATTTTTTCACTCAATGACCAGTACTTTGTTGATCGCTTGTAACATTGATACAGTGGCATATTAGTTAACAGTAAAATGCTTGAATTCTGCGATCCATGCATTAGCTTCAAGTTCATTCAGCCATTTCATATTTCGTTCGACTTGGGAACATTATCAAGAAAGCAATAAACGATGCTGCTAACATCATGAATGCCAAACTTGAAAAGAAAATGCTTCCACCTTCCTTTGTTTTCGACCTGTCGTCCCATACCACTTTCACGATTGTGAAGGTGAACTGAAATGACGAACAGTTTGAAGCATCACCAGTGAATTAGTGTACGTTTGAATAGTGAAATTTGATTAAACAAAGCAGTTTCTGTAGTGTGTTTCTCAACTGAGATAAATTACTTGTAAAGTTATATCACTACATCATTCAAACCACACAACTTATTCATCACACTCCGAAATTGGTTGCTACAAATAAATCGACTCTAACGCTGATACCTGGACACATGTAACTGGTAAATGTATCATTCAGGATCACCACAGACACTACGTGTATTCGGACTTATGAAACAAGACCGAAAAACTAAAGGAGTTTCTCAAATTTTTGAGAAATAGATGATTTCATGGATTAGTGGGAAGAACTGTAGACAGGAAGGGTATGTTCACGGTTAATTAAATGCAAAACCCTCGTATTTAATCTGGTGAAATAATTTCTCAATACAGTCAAGAAGATTTGTAGTGAATTCCGAATACATGATGTCTTCGAAATGATTTCTTCTTCCTAGACTAGGATTAAATATAAGTTGGATAAAATCTCAGTGTTCAAGTCAAAACACTGAATCCTGTCGATTGACTGCAATCGATTTCTCACTTATGTATGGATTGGAGTTGTTCGAAGTATTATTCAAGAAGTCAGTCGGCGATAACATGATATGATAAAATTATTTTGTGCGTCGGTGGCACAGTGGTTAGGACGCTCACCGACTATGCACACGGTCCGGAGTTCAGTCCTTTGCCGACGCACACCTGATATCTATGGTCGGCCTGCGAAATTTAGGCTACCGATATTCATGCTGAAATTTCCATACTTGTACGAAAAATACATTGTGGAATCAAGCTATAATCAAAAAAATTTGTGGATGCATCTCATGCCAATTTTTATTGAGGAATATAAAAGTTAGAATATTCTTACTTGTTTTGGAATATTCAGTCTACAATGCATCAACCAACGAGTGTTTGTTTGGCCACCTAGTTACCACTTTTGCATCATCAAACATCTCACCGTCATTCTTAGTAATGCCATTATAATTGTAATCACTTCTCATAGCCCCGATTCCAGTAATCGTGTCATTCCATCGATAATGCATTTCGTCTGGCACTAGTTTGCAATCAAGTGAAGATCTCATAGATTATTTGGAAATGAGGATTTGTGTATATCATAGACCTGGGCGCTTTTTGCTTATTTAGACTCAAAGATGCATGTATTTAGATTTCGATAGTGATTTCACCAACTGACAATCATGTCACTGCCTGCCATTACATAACAGTTTTAAACAATGTAAGTGAGTAAATGAGAATCATTGGTTACATTTAATCACTGTAACTTACTATCGCCAGTCCAGGGACTACACAACCAAACAGCACTTGAATGGTTATCTGTTAAGAGATAAACAAAGTAAACTGGTCAGAGATAGCGATGAGTGAATGAAACATAGTCAGCACACCATCACTTTATAAAATTTCTATGCAAATTTCATTGATGAAATGAACGTGGAATAAAAATACTTGTTTGACAGTATTCTAAGGTGAAACTGTTTGCAGAATATCAGAAGAAGACGTTCAACGAATGGTAAAACGACTTCTGCTCAGATTATAAAATAACAGTGGTTTGACTTTTCTAACTTATTCTTGTTGTTCTTGATTTATACACATCTAATGAGCAAAAAAACCTCGAATATATTAGTTCCCTCCATATATTAGAAATCTTCAGGAGGGATGAAACAAAATTTAAAAAATATATACATACCATCAAATCACACCGAACCACTGCGAAAATAATAAAAACAATGAAAATTGTCCCCATTATTCCCGAACAGATAAATAAGAATTTATAGTTCAGCAATCTAACTGACTTCGAAAATATAGCTGCAAGAAATAGTAAGGCGGTGAGCAATGTAGCCAACACAAATGATGCTAGACACCATTTCATGGAATAACACGTTGCTACCTCGCCACAAAGCATCGACATCACAATATTCTGAAATGAGAAGAAGAAGAAGTAAGTACCACATAACCAACTATTCCAAAATTAACTGTGTGACACTCCACATGGTTGTACAGCATGATTGGGAAAACATACAAGGATATAATCTTTAGTTCGAAAACTCTTCCCCAGTACCTGCGAAGTTGTTGATTTCAACTGGTGAATAAATTTTCTTTCGAAAACTGATATTTCTCAGTCGATTGAAGTATTGTGGCATTTCAGATAGTTTACAATAAATTAAGAGTAAAGAAAAATAAATAATCTTATGATAGATCACCGGATTGGGCGAGAGGATTTAATGAATTCATTCAACTTCCGTAGAATTCTCGAAATGAATACTGCAAATAAAATGTTATTAAATATATATGCTATTTGAAAAATATTAGGAGATATGGTATACGTGATACTCATCAGTCACATCACGACCAACCTTATTCTTACATTTTTTACATCACTGTATGTAAAGTATTCATTCAGTTGTAGAGACCCACCGAGATCTGATGAGTTCACTTATTCCTGCTTTATTAACATCTGTTTCTCGCTATAAATATACATCGATGAATAAATGTTTCTGATGATGATCTATTTGTCGGCACAATGAAGATATTTACTGATGCGCTAATATTTCATGACTTCATGTCCAACTATGTAATATTCCAGCCTTTATATAAACTGAAGAAAGGAATTTTTCTGTCTGTTCTCCATTCGTACACAAAACAATTCATCCTGTGTGAACAATCTTCAGCAACGATACTCTCACTACTAGAATCTCAGCTCACTAATGTTGCTCAAATGAGGCGCTTTCATGTGAACACAGATGCACTCACAGATATTCAGAGAAAATCCTCCACTATGTTGACAGATGATTTGTGTGCTTGAGAAGCGAATTCTAATGGAAGGTTTAAGTATAAGCAGACTGTCATCTTGATTTGAAACCGCTTTGTATATGTATTTTACACGACACTGAAATCGACATCAGGTCTTCATTGAAATAAGTGTCAAAACAAAATTCCATGAAATACAACAGTGGAACGAAAATGACTTGCCGTAATAACTGCAAACATGATATGAACTGCTAGTGGGATTCGCAAGTATGAAATCCCAGCCCAAATAATATATTCACAGGCTAAGAAGGCACTAAAAATTCAACTGACACGCTGTGTTTATTACGGCTTACCCTGCGCCCACAAAACCCCACTCATTTTTATCAATCCAGGTTTTGTCTCCACTGCACATTGGAATCTTCCTTTATTCAATAACAGACTTACACATAATTGAAAATGAGAACGACTATCAGCAGTATGACCGATTGCGAAATTGTGCACAACAGAAAAATTCCCTGTTGTCGTTTAATCAACTAGTGTCAGCATTCAATTCACCTCACCTTCACAGTAATTCTCATCAGTGAATGAGGGATGATAATTTGAAAAAGTTCCTACAGAGCTCTTCTTTCGCTTATCTGAATATGAAAATATCTCACATAAAATGAATGAAATTCTTTATCTACACGAAACTTATCGTGGGAACAGCTTTGACTAATGTGATCAGTCGTTGTTTCTCAAAGCACCAGTTATTGTGAAATTTGAGTTTCCTTGATGAAGGTTTAGATAGACGAACAGTCAAACTGACATAACTGGTAATTAACTCCAATAGTGTGCTGCTGTTGGAACTAGTGATTGGCTGCAAATCAGCGACCTCGGATTGGTCATGATAATTCGTGATCACCTTCCATTGGACAGTTTCGCTGGTTGCATTTACAATAGTCAGTGTGATGTACACTTTTCGTAGGTATTTTCGATTATGCTTAATTTTCAAGTAAATAGAGAATTATGTTGTATTTATGAGAAAAAAATGATCTCGTATATTCCCTCACGAAAATGAGCAAGCCTTCATTGATTTCCTTCAGATGCATTTGTAACAAATTATAGTTTCTGTTTACGGAAAGGCTATTATTATTGTTTCTTTTAGTTCCTAGAGAAATATAGGACTTCAGCCGCACGTTTCCATTGCGTTCGGTTCTCTGACAACGTCTTCACCTAGCTTCACGTCTGCCCACATGTTTTCATCACCTCTTCACATGAACTCCTCCCTGTCACCCTCACACTGACGACCAACTCACCGCTTCTTTTCGGGTTCCACATGAGGGCCTATCGTGTGATGTCACTTGATGGTTTTCTCAGAGTATGGCCAATCCGTCTCCATTTCTTCTCTCATATTCGTTGCACAATCGGTTCCTTCTCGGTTGGTTCGCTCAATGTCAGAGATCCCTGTTACTGATCTTTTCTGGCCTGCCAACTGATCTTGAGTATTGAGCGAAGACAGCCGTTGATTTTTATTTATTTATTTTTTTGATTTACAGCTTGATTCCACACCATATTTTCAGTACAAGTGTGGAATTTTCAGCATGGATATCGGTAGCCCAAATTCAGACCGACCATAGATATCGGGTGTGCGCCGGCAGGGGATCGAACTCCGGACCATGTGCATGGTCGGCGAGAGTCCTAACCACTGTGCCACCGACGCACAGTTTGTTTGAGGTGCTCTTCGTGATGCGCCAAGTCTCTGATCTGTGTAGAGTACCACTGACTTCACATTGGAGTTGAAAATCCGGATCTTATTTTTCATGCTGAGTGCTGTTGACCTCCACACAGACTTGAGAGTAGTGAAAGCTTGCCTTGCTTTCCCGATCTTTGCTTTGATATCCTCATCAGTTCCGTCTGCCTGTAGTTGAAACGATGCTTCCCAGGTAGGTGGGTAGTTGAAGGAGGATGCTTCTTTCAGATTTCTCCCATTTATGCTGATTGTTGTCTATTGTTTTTGCTTTGGCTGTTGGTGTTGGTCAGGAATCTTCATCATGGAATGGCTATGAAGGCTCATTATCACCTATTTCTCAGTCAATGAAGAATTCAATTTCTTTGAAAGATCTAACCTGTTGGTGGTTGGGCTAAGATCATATTTTCGGAATTGTATGAGGACAGTTAGGTAGTTTCATCTTCTATGAACTATTATATATTTTTATACACTTAATTTTATCAACGTTTCTCTTACTTATGATTTTTAGTTGTTTTTCAGTTGCATTATTTTCTCCCTCTCCTCTGCTTATAACATTCCATTGAGATGGGGTTATAGTCAATACTACCAATTATATTACATCACGAAATTTACTGATTTATTCTTATTGTAGTTCCCACACCAATGATGCTTTCTTTCTGCATTGTGTAAGTGGTATCTAAAATTTTCAAATTTACTAACACATCTCTGTAAACATTCCCTTTTTTACCATGAAAATTTCTTACACATGTGTGACTGTACAACCTGAGAATGATATCGCTGAAAACAGCACCATCCACTGAACGTCTTTTCTTCTTCATGTATTCAGATTTAACAACTAACTGTCAGATTAACAGCAGTGATTGCATAATCGAGTAGAAAACTGATAATTATCAATTAATGATAGTATTTGTGATCTGAAGCTGTGATTATTTCGAGAAGTGTTCCAAAAGCCTGTCTTTCTTCGCAGCTGCCACGAGATTTGAAACACATGAATCTCAAAAGAATCTGTGTAGAATGGTAAGGAAATAAACCAGTGGTGATTGCAGTTGGCATTAAATAGCTGTCTGATATTCTCACATTTCTATTGGGCAGTATTACTGGAATATATACTGAACAGTACAGTTGATGGTGGTGTGTCCATTTCTTGGGTATAACAAAATGCCAATCAATATTTATCCAACACGACAAACAGTAATAATTTCCAATTTCACTACATTTCATCTGAGGCCTATGCCAAGTAGGAAACTAAGTCACATCATCTTGGTGAGAATAAAAGATGCACTGGATGCTAAACTCCACATTGAATTAACTGGAAAGAGGATCCAATCACAAATCTGCGTATCATCATGGAACACAGCATATAGTTGCAGTCAGACGTCTATCTCAGTTTCATTAGGTTTAGAAAGGCCTTCGATAAAGTCGACTGTAGAATGTCTGAACTGTGCGAATTATCTGTGTCTCATGTCGCACAACCTGGAAGACTTACAGGCGAAAACGGAGAAGTTGACAGAAGAAGCGGGAAGAACCGCAGACCAAGTTAGTATATTGAAGACGGGATGATGCAGATAAACAACAAGCAGCAACATCAAGCACCAATTAATATTAACGAAACAAATTTGAAAGATATCACTTGCTTCACTTATATAGGAAGCATCGTTTCGACTGAAGCCCGCCCGGATGAGGATGTCAAAACAGGCTTGAATCGGAAATGCAAGGCTCACCTTCAATCTCAAATCATTCTGGAAATTTTCTCAACTCAGCTCATTAAGTCAGTGAGTTCTTCTCTGTGAGTCAAGATGTTGGCATGCGTGTCGTGAATACCATTTCCCATAGGTTGGAGACATTTATCAGGAGCTGGCTTCTCTGGCGCCATAATGAAGACCAACTATGGGAACAAACCAACCGGACGCTTATTGCTCAAAGAAATTCCGAAGAGAATGGGGATGGATTGGGCACACGCTAATGAGACTGTCAAATAACTTTGCGTACCGAGCCATCGTTTGAGTGGATACCAAGTTGGGAAAAACGAGTTGCGTGTATGTCCGAGCGTGACATGGGGAATATCATGCGAGTATGAGACGAGAGAAAATGGTCAATCGACGTGCCACCTACAGAGGATAAATTGCAATTGTACAGTTGAAGCACTACATTCCAATAGGAATTCAAAGGAACATTAAGAGTAATAATATTCTCTTCTCCATCTCAAAGAACGTATTACAGTCTTTAATCACTGTTGGACGACGAAAACTATTTAAGAAAACATTGAACATGATGAGTAAATATCAGGAAATGCACAGGCATGTCTATGATGATTTACATATGATGTTACAGGTTTTAGTTAATTTCACCATTCACACCATCTACATTGGTCATCACTCCTCTAATTTATATTCAAAATATTAATATCGTGGTCGTTATATCACTGTCGTAGTCAGTATATTCGACGATGACTTACATATCGTCGATTTACTTTAATTTTAAATATATTTAACAACTGAATATACTGATCACTAGATGCTTGTGATTAATGATCATTTGTATCACTACACTGGTTTAAAATGTTATAATTTTGGTAATGGAAAACACATTGAATTTGTTGAATAAAATGATTGCTTGTAGGTGCAGTTAGCAGTAAGCATAAAAAGAAACTTGTAAAGGATGTTCAAATTTCGAAAATCGGTCTCAAGTAATCCATACCGTTTTGATTACCGTCATATTCCACACAATCTTTGGCGTTACGTCGTGTTTATTATTCCTGATTTCTTTTTCGGTTTAGTGGAAAGGTGGCTGTAAAATCAGTCAGCAGACCATCGCTACTTAGTCTAAAACGCTGTTCCCGAAATTCCATTAATACGATCACTCCTTCGTAGATATATATCATTTGCAAAGTACGTAGGCTATAACTGAAATAGTGTTTCGAGAATTAACACTAATTTTGAAATTTGACCCAGTTCGTATTGTATTTGCTGAATTGAAGTAATGCCATGACGTTTTCCAACCTGCTCAGAAAGTAAAAATGAGGTGCTGACAAGTGAACAACTCTTTTGCTTCCCACAGCACGTCGCCTAGTAAATGGTACAGACACTTTCAAAACACGGAATAGATTTAGCCTGTTTAAGCCTGCATGTGATGTAGAAACGTTTTTCTGAAAATTTCGGGTAGGATTTTTTCTGAATTGGAGCTAGTGTACTCTTGATGTATCGATGATTCAGGAGTTTCAAATCAGGTTGAAATTCAGCTTATAGGGAACCAGCTGTTGAAAAGAGAACCTTTCCTTTACTGTCACCAAATTGGTAACACCAAACTCCTGGACTTTGCAAACATTTTACATTTACAGAACAACCATTTAGCACCTGTGAATATTTGAGATTTTCATGGATTTTTATCAGTGATGATGCCAGAGTAAACGTGCTTCCATGTTTTAGTTTCGATTTACAAATACGGTTTTTCATCAACATGTATAGAAGAATAGGATGAAAGGGGGAATAGTAATGGAAATTGTCATTTTTTTGTCTACATCGAAAGGAGTAGACTGATTATCTATTAACTGTTTATTAACAGGCATATATCTGAAAGAAATATTCTCTTTTCAGAAAGCTGGTAATGTGAAAAAGCAGGCATCTGGAGTACAAGTGAGTAGAATACGTGAGCATGAAATTTTGGATGGTTAAATTATCACTTGAAGAAAATAAAATTCACTGTCGTATAAAATGCCTCCTTTACAATTCATATTACCTGTATAGCCACCTGGTGTATGCATTTCCTTGGATTTTAACAAAATAAGTAATCAGTTATCGCCTCAAATACCTATGTGTATATTACTTTGAATCATTGAATTTGTTTAAACTA